TCACAGCCATCCAGTCAATACCAACTCACAGTTGGACCCTATAGGACAGGGTAGAGCTGCCCCTGTGGGATTTTGAGACTGAAACTCTAGGGAGTGGAAAGCCTCATCTTTCTCCCAGGAGGCAGCTAGTGGTTTTGAACTGCTGACTTTTGGCTGGTAGTTGGGCACGTAACTGTTAGGGCCTCCTCCCAACGGGAAAGAGCTATTTTAAAAACGGCAGACCTGAGCCTGGTCGCACAACACGAGGACGACAACTAATCCCACTAATTAGACATGTCAAAAACATGGAAATGGCCAATGTTTTGTGGTCTATAAACTGACCACAGCTTAAAGGCAAAGCAAAACAAAAACTGCACACCCGAACAGGTCACCCCCTGCCTTAAAACCCTTGACGGGACCTCCTGGTGCCCAGCTCCTGAAGCCGGCCAGCTGCTCCATCTCACGCCACACCTTCCCTCCTCACTGCCTCCTCGCCTTCTCCCTCCTGAGGACTTTCTCCCCTCCCCACCCTGCCTCACTTTGTTCGGCACCCTCATCCCACCGCCTCAATAGCCGCTTCTCCAAAAGCCCTTTCCCATCCTGCCTGTCATACAGACCTCAGCTCCTCGCATGTCACCGATCACACGACAGTCTAAGCACTTAGTAGGTGCTCCTGTAGTCCTCACAACCCCATGAAATGGGGAGTCAGTGCTTCCCCAGTTCGCCCAGCTGGTGAATGATAGCCCCGGGCTTCCATCCCAGCAATTAGCTTGCCAAGGAGCCCTGGTGGCAAAATGGTTACATGCTGGGCTGCTAACCACAAGGCCAGCGGTTCAAAGCCTCCAGCCCCTCTTGGAGAGGCTTTCTACTCCCATAAAGAGTGATAGTCTCAGAAACCCAGAGGAGCAGTTCTCCCCTGCCCTACAGGGTCTCCAGGAGTCAAAATGGACTCGATGGCTGTGAGTTTGGTTAACCAGAGTCTCGGCCTGAGCCCACCCACAGGAGAGCAGAGAGCCCAGTTTCTAACACAGCCTGGCACCCAGTAGGCCTTAGTTGTTGTTGGTTGATCGAAACAAGTCCCCTGCTGTGTTCAGGTCCAATATCCAGGCTCTATGTGGGAGACATTATTTAATCTTCACAATAATCAGTTATTCCAGCATCATTCCCCATCCTACAACCAGGAACATAACACAGGCGGATCAAACAATTTCCCCAGAACCTCAATCCTTTGAAGGGGTTAGCAACAGTTTCCAACCTTAACTTATTATAGGAGCTGGGGGAGGGGTGGGAAGGTGACTTTCTGTGGCCCCAGGCACCTCTGAGTTCAAACTGCCAAGCTGGGCTCCATTGGAATGCCAAGGCTCATTAGTACTGTGCTGGGCGGGGTTGACTAAAGAAACAAGTCAATCATGCAGAGGCGTAAGAAAGAGCTTTGTAGGGAGAAGTCATTATATCTCAAGAAAGCGTCCCGGCCCAGTCGGACTCAAGTCCACAGGTCTGATACTAGTCCACAAGTCCTTCTTCACAGTCACGCAGCCACAGGCAACGGTGCAGGATGCAGGGAGGTCACAGGCCGGTGGGTGCAGAGTTGTGTGGATCCATGGTCAGTGGAAATGTGACCGGGTTCCAGCAGCTCATAGGATGGCCAGCAAACAGGAAGGCGAAAGGGGAGAGCCCTCAGCTTCCAGTGTCTCCCTCTCATGCCATCAAGGAGTCACCAGGCTAAGACTTGATTGGCAGCTTTGACTACAACCCTCACTAGGAGTGTCTAGTTGACAGGCTACCCTCTCACTACCACAGGTACCCTGTGAAATAGCCCCTTTGGTGAAATAAGGGCAAACATCTCCTGTTCCTTCTGCACTAAGATGTGTCCGACACAGTCCCCCAATCTCTCTCGATCCTTTCTTGAGCCCTTCCCCTCTCATGGTACAGGGTCAGCAGGCTGTTTGAGCAGCCACGTGCCCCGGATGCGGGCCACATGTGTAAAGACAGATGGAATCATGGGAAACCAGTAGGCCTGGCCCAGCACGTGGGCTGCAGGACCTCCTCTCCTCGTGTGTGGGTTTCACTTTGGGACTCAGGTCCAGAACCTGCCAGGAGCCACTTGAGGTGACGGGCGCCCTGGTGTCCCGGTGAACCCTGACTCAGATAACAGGGGCTGGAGTCCTCCGGCTGCTCTTCACAAGGAAGGCTTGTCACTTGCCCCAGGGTTCCTGCGTTAGAGCCAAAGGCCGAGAAAGCCAAGATCTTAGCTTTCAACGAACAAACGAATCAGTCACCGTCATCAAGTTGATTCCAACTCAGAGTGACTTCATAGGACAGAGGAGAATGGGCCCTCTGGGTTTCCCAGAGTTTAAGTCTTTGCAGGGGCAGACCACCTCATCTTTCTCCCATAGAGTGGCTGGTGTGTGTCGGCTGCTGGGTGTCCCTTATGGATGACATCCTGTCCCTCAAAAATACACGCTGAGATCCTAACCCCTACCCCTGTGCATCCAGGTGGCGTAATAGTTAGGCCTTGGGCTGCTAACCGCAAGGTCAGCAGTTCGAAACTACCAGCCATTCCTCGGGAGAAAGACGAGTCATTCTACTCCCATAGAGTTACTATCTCAGAAACCCACAGGGCCCGATTGGGTCACTAAAGCCACTCAGTGGCAGCGAGTATCCTGGTGGATCTAATCCCATTAGGTAACAGGGTTGTCTCAGTTACGTTACTAGGACATCTCAATGTAACTGAGAACTGTAACAATTAAACCCAAATCTCACTGCCATCGTAGAGCCACCTGATAAGACAGAGTAGAGCTGCCCCTGTGGGGTGTCCGAGACTGTGAATCTTTACAGAAGCAGAAAGCCTCATATTTGAGGTTTTCAAGAGAGCAGAATAGGCGCTCAATGAGAAGCCTGCCTTTGTGGGGACTACAGGTCGGTAGTCGTCCTACAGTACAGGGGAAGCGCCAGGGGCTCGGCCCTGGAAATAGAGCAGCCAGAAGGCCCTTAATGACACTGTGAAAAAGACAGCTTACATCACTGGAGAAACTCTGGGGGCATCGTGGTTAGGCATTGGGCTGCCAACTGCAAGGTCAGCAGTTTGAAACCATCATCTTCTCCGAGGGAGAAAGACGGGGCTTTCGACTCCCATAGCGTTAGTCTTGGAAACTCACAGGGATATTTTTCTTTCTTTTTAATCACTTTATTGGGGGCTCGTACAACTCTTGTCACAATCCAGCCAACCGTCCATTGTGTCAAGCACATTTGTGCATTTTTTGTTGCCATCCTTTTCAAAACATTTTCTTTCTACTTGAGCCCTTGGTATCAGCTTCTCATTCCCCCCCCCCCCGCCTCATGAACCCTTGATCATTTATAAATTATTATTCTTTTTCCATGTCTTGCACTGACTGACTCTCCCTTCACCCACTTTTCTGTTGTCCATCCCCCTGGGAGGGAGTTATAGATAGATCCTTGTGATTGGTTCTCTCCCTTCACCCACTTTTCTGTTGTCCATCCCCCTGGGAGGGGGTTATAATAGATCCTTGTGATTGGTGCCCCCTTTCTCTCCCCCCTTCTCCTTCCCCCCTTGGCAAGGCTACTCTCAGTATTGGTCACAGGGGCAAGTCTTATCGCTATGACCTGAAATCGACTAGGTGGCAGTGAATTTGGGGTTTTCGGGGTCACTGAGCTACATGTATAGAAACTGTCGAATGGGAAGGGTCACCCAAAACACACAGATATTGAAAAGGGAAATAAAACCAAAGGAACAGGTTAGACACAGAAATTCTAAAATAAACCTCTGCCATGGAGTCCACTGGGCTTGCGAGACTGACTCTTTCGAGGAGAACGGCTCGCTTTCCCTCACAGAGCACCTGGGGTTTCAAACTGCTGACCCTGCAGTTGGCAGCCCAATGT